AACACCTACGTATAGCTTCCACTGCCATTTGACAAAGCAGAGCGACTACTTCAACTTATCAAAAATAGACACTTCAAAAAGAAAAAAAAACGCAGTATTGAAAGACAAATGCAGGCACCCCTTCTGAAGGCAGCTACTCCCATCCCGCTCGGGGGGGGGGGGTTTCAGCAGTGCCTTTCGGTGACCTTTATGTGTCAGTATCAGATTACTGCTATTTTATCCATCCCGCTTTTGAAGATGTTATAGATTGCCACTTGTTCCCTGATAGAGCCTTAAGAAGCACCTCAAAACAAAACAAAGAGCGGGTTTATACAGAAGCGGATGTAACGCACAAAGGATACAGCCAGTGGAAATGAATGGAGAACTCTGTTTAACTCATCCAAGTACTCACTCTGAGCAAATAGAGGTGGAAAATGAAGATTTTAATCCAATACATAAACAAACAGCTTTGTGGGCACAATGCAAACCTATAATCTTAAATTGTTCAATGATATTTTGTCTGCGTGCAAGCACAGTTTCTGTAATCTGGATGCATCCTTGGTCTCGCTGCCGGAGACAGACTTGTAGAAGATCTGAGCATTGGCAAGCAGAAGCAAGTTTTAGGTCTGTTTGATTTCTAATGACACATTAGAGTAGGTGTTTGTTTCTGTCACCCTCTCCTTCCCAGGAACGCATATTCGTGGTTGGGTACTGGTGATGCAACACTAGTTAGGGGAAGTGATTTTATAACAAGACATAGTTTTCAAAGAAGTGAAGGAATAAATGATGTAAAAATCAAGATTATATGGGGTTTTTTTCTCCTCCAAATAATGCAATAGTGCAGCGTTATTACATCAAAGTACAGCACATAACCCTCTGGCAAGTAAAACGCCTTGCGTAAGTCAGCTTATTCATGACATACGAGAGAGTAACGAAATCCATGTGGAAAGCTGAAAACAGCGTAAGTGTCCACCTATTTTCTGCTGCCTCCAGCCCCGTTTCCAGTAAGGAGGGGAGAAGGGCCAGGCACTTCCACAGCTCCTCTGTGCTTGCTAAGATTAAGAGGAGCGGAGTTTTTACCTCTGCCTTCTTCAACCTATGTTGCTTCATAACCCCAAGGATCTCCAGAGGGTCTGGAAGCAAATTCCCCACCTACTCCGACAGGGACGGCTGTTGAAGCTGGTACCTGCACAGCCCCACTTCACTCGATTCCTTCAGCCATTTAACTTTTGGCATATATCTGCTGTGCTACAGCATCACTGAAGAATCACACTCTGGGGCACAAAACCATGGGAGGTAGAGAAACCACTGACAGCTAAGCCCCGATGGAGAGTAAAAATGACAGTAATGAAAAATTAAAGAGAGACGGGAACACACTGGGTATTGCGGAAAGTAGTGACCAAAGCACTAGCATGAAAGCTACCTGTGTGGTATGGTTTAATTTAATTCAACCCATACTTACTAACCCCGTGAAACTGGGTACTGTGCTCGTACACGCTGACAAAAAAAATCAGGGGTGGATATAAAAAACAGCTAAGCAGAAGCCTCCGTAATAGTACTTCCGCCACACAGTGGACCATATTTTAAATATTCATGATGCTGACACACTTCATATTCCACTCTCTCTCTTCCACATCTGCTTGGGTCAACGGTCTTTGCCAAAACACTGGGGGAAGTCAGTGACATAGAGAAACATCCTTGATTTTTCTGTTACAGTTATGAAGCATTTGCTCACGTTCTAACGCTGCAGAGAACATGCCTGAGCCACCTGCACACTGAAAAATCAATACGACATCTCCTGCTTTCCTCTTGGAAGGGGTTTGAGCAGGGCACCCACAGAAACCGCATAACTGCCTTTTTTTTTTTTTTTTAATTTTTATTTTATTTCTCAGAGGCAACAGAAAATGACCTCATCTTTGCCAGCTGCTATGAAACCGATGTCGGTGTACGGTCCAGGCAGGAGCACAGGGCTCGGTCTCACACCACATTCCCCCTGGGTCTGACGCGGATGACACAGCCGTCGAGGCAAAACGCCATGATTTGGGTCCTGTACAGAAGGAGGGGAGACACAACTGGGAACAAACACGGGTCTCCCGTACTTGTGACTGCCCAGTGAGCTCTAAAGCTCATCAAAAGGCACCGACGGAATCAAGTTGGTGAAAATGTCACAATTCTCTGAGCCAGAAATACTCGCTGTGTTTGATTTAAAATCAAAACGCAAGCAGTAATGATTAAATCCTTGTACCAACTGTACTCAAATGCAAGGTCCTGCCTTCGTGACAAAAATCAACTGAATAAAGGTGTGTTTTGCAGTGAAGTTGCACTGGTGCAAACCCCTCTGAATTCTTACTAAGGTGGCTTAGCACCCCTTTCCTCTCTCAACTGTGAATTTAAAAAAAACCCAATAATTTAAAAAAAAAAAAAGGAAAGTATTAAGCC